TCAATCATTACGCAGCGGACTTGTGGATTTCTCACGACCACACGGTATTCTGCACACAGTTTTCACTAACAAACAAGGACGTCAAAATTGAGTGTTATATTTGAGTTATGGTATTATTTATTTATTTTCAGCGGCAATGCCCGATTGGGCAGCCTTGACATATATCTTTTATCTTTATAGTTTTGATTAGATATTTTTTCTGAAAACACGGTGAGAGAGAGAGAGAGTTTATTTCGTTTTGTCAAACCAAGAAAAAAATATATACATGCATACATATATAAATATCAAATAAACAGATGTTCTCGGTATATGACTGGGAAGCAACGATACGACCTTCATCAAAGTCAGTTGCCACCCAATTCAGTTCAATTAAATAAGCATAAAAATAAATACCAGGTTCAGTGTCAAAATATCAATACCTCTCATTTTTGTTTACTATATACAATATTTACATGTAATTATCATTTTTTATTATCAATTGAACACCAAAAATATAAAAATGATCGAAACAAAATAAATTGGAGCTCAGGCACTCAGATACAAATTATTTGGCATATTAGCCTTATGGAATAAAAAAATGAAGAATGCAACATTTTATAACATGATTTGGGACACTTTAAATATGAGCATTTAATAATACTGTAGTAATCAATTATAAAAATAGAGAGTTAAAGTTGCTTATGAAATATCATGGATGGGATATGAGGTGAAATTTTTGTTTAGAGCAGCAAAGTACAACACACGATATGTAACATTGGTGAATATAGCCAATGAATGCAAACGAAAAAAAAAACACTAATCTCCAAATTCACAATGAGAAAACAATAACAATTCACTTGGAATGTACAAGTCAAGCATATTGGAATTGCAAGTGTATATGGATTCAAGGATACAGACACAGTATATATTATATATTTACACCTGACTGGGCCCAAACCAAATATATAAATATCATACAACAACAATTGTTTTATATGATGGTATTCAATTTCAAGCGTTAAAAGAATATCGTTTTAGATGACAGAGCAAATACCATATTAAATTAAAAAAATGAAGAATGTAACATTTTATAACATGATTTGGGACACTTTAAATATGAACATTTAATAATAGTAATCAAATATAAAAATAGAGAGTTAAAGTTGCTTAGGAAAATCACAATGAGAAAACAGTAACAATTCACTGTGAATGCACAAGTCAAGCATATTGGAATTGCAAGTGTATATGGATTCAAGGATACAGACACAGTATATATTTTATATTTACACCTGACTAGGCACGTGTGCACGTTTTACATAAAAGGGAATTACACCAATTCACACACAATTTCAATATATAAAAAAATGACTAAAACATTGTTCTCGTAAATAAAAGTTGATGCAGCAAAATTTTGGGTGAAATATTAAAAGATCTCATAGGATTCATAGAAAATTTAGGAATAAACAAAAGTAATAGCCTTCTATCGAAAAATACAATCTTTGCCCTCTGAAAATTTCGAAGCAATTGGTCCAGTAATCAAGAAGTAACGCGATTTTTTTCATACCGATAGGAAGAAGAATAACATGATAAAGAACAACAACGACAACAAGAATACCAAAACGATCCATCGGTCCACTAGGTGTCAGAAATCATGCGGCCGCTCAGTCACTTGTCTCACTCAGACATATATCCAAGCATAGTTGTGAACACTGCCTCGTTTTTGTTGTTTTGCGTGTTATTTGCCAGTTTTCAGTTGTCCATTAGGAAAGTAGTTGTAAATTAAATACCTTATTTGTCATTATATTTTCCAGGGAGCTTTAGATTAGTTGCAATAATCAAAAATTTACCCCGCAAATGCTGCGATAGACTAGGCTAAAATTAGCTGTCAGTACCTGCAGGCGGCACGCGGTTGAACACTTTTAATAAAAATAATGATTTCGAACATGTACATCAGTTCATAAGCGCAAACTCTCTAAAATACTCTCAAAATACTGTGTGCATACAAAATTTTGCCATATTAGAGTTTAGCAAGAATTTTTCTGGGGTCAAGGGTCTGGGAAACATCCATAGAAGCTTGAGTGTTATAAAACAACAATGTTATCTTGAAAATGTAAACGTCAAGTTGAAATTTTCCAAAAAATAGTCATCAGATATTTGCGATGGACGTTTTTTGGGGGCCAACGTTCGGTAAAATAATCTCCGACTAACGCCACTTGGTGGTAGACGGAAGAGCATTGTGATTCGCATGACTGACCTCTGACAACAACAACTCAAGAAATGTTGGCGCGCGGCTTCGGAAATCGGATGCGTGTGACTGGATGCGGGTCTGTGTTGCATTTTTTTTATTCAGAGGTTGGATTTAGCCGGTTCACACCGGTTCTATACAAACATCTCACGGAATTTGATGAGATCAGCGAACCGGTCAGCATCACTGGTTACTGTCAATGGATTTTAAGTTCATTATCAACGAGTACCGGTACCGTTACAGCAATATCAGAATATAGACTATCCCAACGGCCGGCAACCAACTTGCCTAATGTATAAATGTTCCTGGACGCCATCTTGTGCCATATTTGGGAAACGCGAAACAATGGAGTCTTATGGGAAATTTTCGTCGTGTTGTTGCACTGATTCGAATAAGTCCGCTGTTTCAAGGCTGCAAGGGCTAGAATGAACTGAAGGGTGGATTTTGAACTTTAAGATATATGCTATCTAAATATATAACGCAATTAAGAATAAAAAACTATCTAATGCGTTAAATTTGACAACAAACACAGCGTAGAACCATTTTTGGCCATGTTTTCAAAGATTTTATAGTGATACGCTAATTTAAGCAGTAAAATGTCTCCGCAACAATCCTACAATATCGTTTGTTCATCTAGCGCAGCTTGGAGCCGAACAGTAAGGCATTATTTAGCTTGACAGACAAAAAATGTTAACCAGAAAATAGAAACGGCCATTGAAGCATAGGAGGATTGGCCGGTAATTTCGACGAATAAATACAACTTTTCATCTGTGACATCATAAGGAACGCCATTGTCAAATGGCAGAATGGTTAATTATGACGATTATAATGGCCAATTTACTTCGAAAGCAACTCAGAACCGGTATACTTGTCTTCAAAGACAATTTAAAGTACTAGTCTATAAATGTAATTTGGCCAACATAAAAGGATATAAGCATGTTCGGCTAAGATTCTACTTCAAAACGCGACCTTCAAAATTTTTCTACCTAAAATATTAATGAAAATAATAGGTATGTTCCAATAATTGTGTTTGACCTTCTCATACAGTCATAATCATAAGGCGCCGTGTTAAATTGCCAAGAACAAGAGGCACAAGGCTTTGGACTATCCACAACAAAATCAAAAATTTCAATGCTAATTTTGACATAATGATGCTTATTTTAAACCAATATTTTGAAATTTTAAATAGGAAGTAATTAAAAATAATCAGTTTATTTGCTAAAAAATAGCCTATGACATTTCTGCATTTTGTAACAGAACCCGCTGACCGTATGACTTTTGTGGTGGAACCGTCTGACAGAAAATTTAAATCCCATCGCTGGTTAACGGTATCTTATGATATGCTCATATTGCATCGGGGTCGTTGATAAACCAGAGGAAAAAATGTCAACCATCAGAATACCGGTACATGCCAGTCTGGATTTCATGGTCTTTTTGGGTCTAGTATAGGTTAGTACTACAAGCACTTCCAGTGCAGCAGTGGGTGTAGCATAACGAATTTTGCATATGTTATTCCTAATCCCCATCTGACTATGCCATCCAAAAATTATGTCACTAGGACGTCACCATCACATGATATGGCTTGCCAAAGTATAATTACAATCGCCCGAAATGGCATCTGCGCCGCCGATAACGAACTCGCTAACGCCGACTATCTCTCCCCTATGGTGATCGTTGTGACGAAAAAACGAGAGAACTAGCTTTCTCGATTTCGGGTGATCGTCTGCGCGTTTTGGACGACCATCCTCATACTTTGGTGGGTCTTATTACGCCACTGTGACGTTCAAATGACGTAATTTTTTGGTGACGTAGTCAGGTGGGGGTTACAGGGTTAGGATTAACATATGCAAAAATTGTTGAGCCAGGCCAACTATACCAGACCCGTCTTTTTGAATGAGATACGGTATGGGCGTGCAATCAGAAATTCCCGCATGCAAATCAGAATTCCCGCCGTGCAATTATAGCTCACGGCGTGCAAAACGAATGCCCCCAGGTGCAACTAACTTCGACTTCAGGTACTGTTCAATACATCCGCTTAAAATTATTGGATAAAACTATGTTGAATCAGATTAAAAATGAACGTTTGACCTTTGACCCCCAAAGATTTTTTTTTCTATACTTTGTCATTAATTTTGAGAGTGTTTGTGCGACTTTAGATACCAGTACTGTTCAGTACATTCGCGTAAAATTATTGGATAAAAAACACTTTGAATCAGAGCAAAAATGGATGTTTGACTTCGACCCCCAAACATTATTTTTTATACATTAATATTAATTTTGGGAGTGTTTTTGCGTAAAATAATTGAATAAAAAATACGCTTAATCAGAGCCGTACCGTAACCGACCAGCGTCGGCGAGAAGTCTGGCGATATTTTTGCTCATAACTACTCTCACAGGATTCCTATGCTTCGCGTTTTTCGATCAGACCAAATCTTGCAGGCTAGTATGAAGTCGACAATTATGAAGCTACAATTTGTTGACATCTTTATATTACTGTACTGGATGATATAAAAACCATCACAACTGATTTTCACTGGTGAGCGATTGCAAATTTTTCACGTGCAAAATTGAATTCTCTCATGTGCATATTTGTGGAGCGCTGGCCCCCTTGGGTGTCAGGGCGTGCACCTGCCATGGAATCCAGTCTGGGGTACATGTATTAAATTGCGAAAAACTGGAAAACCATGCGTTCAACCAAATCTTTGGCTGTCTGGCTGTCGTTGCCGTACCGGTTAAGGTAATCTCATTTGTATAAAATTTAGGGTTGTGCTAATTCTAGTTTTTATTTGACAGTTGAACTAGATTCTGAAATATCATTACTACCTTAGGCTTAACTGCTGAACTGGCATACATATAGCATTACTGCATTGAGACATAAAACCGATGGCTTTGATGAAAGATACAAGTTTGGCAATGTGGCTGGATCCACCTGTTGATTTCAGTCAGAGTTTGCAGGAAATTGAAAAGTTGGAAAAACAATTGTCATGCAATTCATGGTGAATTTTAAAATTCTGTAATTAAATATTACTAAAATATCATTAGTTTAATATTTATACTTCCACTATGGTATATTCTGCATTGTGAAAAAATGATGTTTCATAAATATGAATGTATGATCACAATCTATTTTTTGAATTTGTGGTATCTCAATAGTATCAACCAAGCATGTTGTTCTATCCGTCTATAGTGTTTTGATATGATATTATAAGCTATTGTATTTTATGATGCACCAATAATATGGATATACTTTGCTTTTTTCAGCAACAAATATATGACGGAGCCAATAACGTTATGGAGTTGCGATCACATATTTTGTCAGTAAGAATTTTTTTTTTTAAAGTTTTTTTTTTAATAATTTCACCATTTTTGAATAATTATTATCGATTTTTACAACTCAACCTTTCTTGCATATTCATAGGGATTGTATAGAAACAATGAATGACAAATGTAAGGTCTGTAATCTCCCATGTTGGCCTGAAGATCAAACAGAAAATAAAGCTATAATGGATATTGCTAGATTAACAACTTCATTGAAAGAATTATTGGAAGGTAAATTGAAAATTTCATTTCATTTGAGAAAGTCTCTAAACAAGCAACTCAGCCACTTGTATTGAATGATAGACAAGAATCTCATATTAGAAATTTTTTTTATAACAATTTTGAATTTTAACTTTTTTTAGCATACATCGTTATAGATTGAATACAGAAATAAATTAATAGCCTTGTTTTTGAGTAATTGCTGGGATTGCTGGTAATTGACTTTCAAAGAACGGATTTGCAAAAAAAATTTTAGACTGGTGAATTGGTTGAACGAGAATTACTATTAAATTTACCAGTATTACTTTGGTTTTCATGTTTATACTTTGTTTAATTTATATTTTTAGGTTATATGCTTGAAACAAACCAAGTCTCTCGTTTATCGAGGAAAAACAATGAAAAACATCCTGAGGAAAAATCTAAATCTGATAAACGAAATACAGCCGAAAGTACAAAATCTAAGAAATCAACAAATACCCGAGCAGTATCAAAAAAACGTTCAAAATTCAAAATAACGCCATCAAAACCATTTCCTGAAATTACATCGGGTATATTTTCTACAGATCATTTTATACTCTTTTAATTTTTATATGTTCACACACATTCACATTCATCCTTTTTTTTTCTATGGATTCTTCAAAAAAATAAAACCAAGGACCATGGGTGTGGAGTTGGGTCCTGTTTTCTTTGGGGTCAAATTCACAAATTTCTCAAGGCATTGAAATTTAGAATTTCCTGAAGTCGGAATTTGAGAAATTAACTGAGGATAATCGAGTTTGAATATTTTCTACAGAAAAATTAAGCTGACAAAATATTAAAATTTCCATTAACCTGTAGCTGTGAACCGAAGTCTAAGTCAGAATTTGCTTCGACTCAGAGTAAGGAGTATGAGTCGATCGTAAATTTTCCCAGACTCCCTTGAGTCCACAGCACTGATCTAAATAAAAAATTTCTAACATATGAATTTATTTCATCCAATAAACTATTCAATTAAAAAAGTATTTGTCATATATCATGTCAATGTTATCATTTGATCTAAACCTATTAACAGATTTCCATCATTTTTATGATCTTTGACTTCCTATATAAATAACCAGATTCAGAAGACTCACAACCAACTGAAAACAACAACAAAAATACAGCGATAATAGATGATGCTAATAGGAGTCCTGCTAAGAAGCCAAAAGCAAATGATGATACTGATTCTCACTTGAAAGAAGCCTTAAATAATAATGTATTTGTAAGATTTATTTTTATTCAATCAAATTCAGTGCGATTAACTAGCGACATCCACTAATGGTCAACCCTCCAGCTATTCAATATCCAGTCTGGGCTGTTAACCTAATGATATGGTTCACAATTGATTAAGCTGTTGTATATTGACTTTTATCTTCTGAGATAAAATGAGAATCATTTTCTGTGTTTCACATACTTTTATGTTTATAAAACTCTATAATATAACTGTAGAAAACTGGATGCTACTTTACCGTGAGATCTACCTCAAGTTAGTACCATAATGTGAGGTGCATTTCCATCTTTATTAAATATAACTTACTTCTACACATCTAATCTAGTAATTTATGGCATAGAAATGACCTTAAGCATGGTATGGTAAACTGGGTAGGTGACAGTTTGCTCACACACTATGATTGCACCAAAAGCTGTATTTCTTCTTATCATATATACGAAACATGTTTTACTATTATTTCTCGTTATTTGCATTCCTCTATTATATAGAATTTTGCGACCCCATCTCCTCCGCCCAAACGAAAGCGGGCATTAATTCGAACTCCTCGCACACCACTATACACTCCAAATCGGAATGTATCTTCCCCATCTGGAATGAAAACACCAAAAACTCCGAGATCAACAAAGAAGAATAAAAGGGGAGAGACCTTGCTCCACATAGCTGCTATGAAGGTAATATTCCTGTCGTAAAGATTATTTTTGTATTTCTCTGTTTATTTAGTCTTCCATAGTTTTTTAAGATCGTTAAATTCACTATCAGTAGGCTTCCTTTTTTTTTTTAATTTTAATACATGTGGAAATTATTTGGTAATTATGGTACAATATGCCATATTTTATTATTGGACAAGAAGTGTACATATTGGATCATTTTGATAAGTTATTGTTCCTCATCCTAACCTTTGGAACTGTTATTTTCCAATTTTTACCACTTAGAGCAAGAGAATGGAATAAGTCGCCTGAAGTATATTGTTTAATTTTTTCAAATTCTGTGTGCTTGATATTTGATCTAAATTTTGCTGTTTTATTCTGATTCATGGAAAAACCTATTTGAGCATTGTTCTGCTGTTAATTATACACGCCCAACTAAAAACAGTTCAATTACTGATTCTTATTATGGGTAAAATTTGTTCAGGGTAAAATTGATGACATGAAGAAATTAATAGAGGAGGGAGCTGATCTCAATGCTAAAGACAATGCTGGATGGACTCCTTTGGTGAGTTTCATTCAATAGGGTTTTAGAGTGGGGCACACCAACCTTTATATTAATTATATTAAGCATTAATGATTTCTCTGGCTCTGCGTGGTACCGCAGATTCGAATCCTATGTGGGGACTGGGGATAGTTATGTGTGAGAGGATTGCTGGACTCCTCGCTGCCATAGGGTGGTTCACGTGACCGCTGATTGATTACGGCTTCCTTCACCATCAAGTTCATGCTTCCTATAACAAATAACTAAAACTAATCTCATATCCGAAATCGACTTTTAACCGGAGAGGCAGTGTTTCCCCATATGATTAAGCTGTCTTATTGACTTTCCTCTCCCCCGGGATAAAATTGTAAATCCTATCCTTCTAGCACGAGGCTTGCAATCATGGGCACATTGATGCAGTTCGGCAGCTTCTTGAATCTGGAGTTTTAGTCAATACACCTGGTTATGAAGATGAAACTGCCTTGATGGATGCTGTGTTAAATAGACATCTGGCAATAGTTGAATTACTTTTACAATATGGTGCAGACACGTCTTTGAGGTATTTATTGAATTTGACTTTTACCTTTTTTGATGTTATGTAAATGCTTATTTCAGCCTGTTAAGTTCTTTCTGAAAAAGTCTTATAAAGCCTGTTAATAAGCCCTAGCCATTGACTTTTTTTTACCCAGTGATTTGTAAATAATTTTAGTAATTTTGCTGGTATAAAAGGCGCTGCTAAAGGTGATTATTCAGTTTCCCATTGATTCTGCTGATTCAGATGTAGTTTGGGAGTCTACGGCAAACTGACCAAAATATATTGATGAAATTTTTGTCAGCCCAAAGTAGGATTTAAAATTGCTCTCACTTCGAATGAGTTAATCGTGTCACAGACTAAATAGTTAACAATCATGAGTTTAATTTGGTGCTCCAGAAGTGTGCGTACCAACATGAAGGTACGGTAACTAATTTTGTTCGCCTACATTACATCAAGTTGTGTATGTGGATTGAAACATATTGGCAGGGGGTTTATATACTTTGCTAACGGTCCCCGACTCGTACTAAAAATCAAAATTATGGCTTAACCCTAAGTCCCTAACCAGGTACACATACTACGGGAATACCGTTAATTTTTATCAAATTTTCTCGCTCTAAGAATTCTGTTACAGCCTATTCCATCTATCCTACATTTGAAAACCCTAAGTTGGGCTGTCAGTTCGAGTTAACGTTTTGATGTGATGTTGAATTCACTAATGCCCACTATTATAAAAATAATTGTTCTCAAAATTCTCTGGTCTATGCTCATAACTTTTTGTGCTTTTGCATTTATCAGAAACTCTCATGGTCAAACAGCATTTGACCTTGCGATTGATCGAAATATAAAAGATTTAGTAGTGGAACATAAATATGATAGTCTGGATAATACAAGTTCAGAAACTGAACAATTGCCGGTGAGTTATCATGAGTATATATATGTTCATTGTGTTTTGAATTTGATGAATACCGTACTGTAAAATATATTGTATGTTATTTTCGAGACAACTTTCAGTGCGAACTCAAATTCAATTTTTTATAAAATTTTGCTAGAAATCCACTGTGTAGAAAAACTTATATAAAAACTTCCTCACTCTGAATAAGGTTTTGAACAAGCTATCTAAATCATATTGCAAGAAAAACTCAGTTATAATGGGTAGTATGCTCACATGGAGAAGACTATGAAGTAAAATTTTTTAATTTTCAGGATTTTGCTCCAGAAGAAATAATTATCAGTTATTCAAATTCAGTGAGATTTGATAAAGTAAAAACTTGTGCGGAGATATTGAAAGCGATTGTTAATACCAAAGATGCGGTTTCAGGTAAGTTTTATCTGTACTCCCGTAGTGTTTGTACCAGGTTAGGGTTAGGCCATATTTTTATTCCGATTTTTCTCATTTTAGTTCCATTATGAGTTCGGGGACTGTCTGTGTTAACCAAGTGAATATAACCCCCTGCCCATAGGTTTAGGTTCTCTTTAAACAACTTGATGTTGAGTAGGCGAACAAAATTAGTTTCTTCCATATTGGTACACGCACTTCTGAAGCGCTGTTTTATTGTTGATCATAACCTTATACTTGATCATGTATGCTTTTGGTGATGCATCGTTTCCATTTTCTACAGCTACTCATTATATTGTTCCGAGCTATGAAGATGGAAAAGCTCCACGAACCATCAAGTACATGCAAGCTGTTGCAAAAGGAATATGGATTGTTAAATGTGACTGTAAGCACAATACTTGTCTCAATTTGCTTCCTTAACATAGTATTGTGATCTTTTGTATTCATTCATACTATTTTTCCCGCATCTTTAAATAAGCAAAGAAACGAAGCATTCCAATGGTATTGAATCAGCCGTTCTGTCATATTAAGTATGAAAGTTAGGTTACTTAGAAAATGTATTTTCATCAAAATGTATGTATTTTTCTCTACCATTTTAAAAATATTTTTACTGGAGTTGTATTTTCAAACTCCCTAGGCCCAGATTCCAAATTTTTAGATTTTTAGGAGTAATGGTGATAAGAAGTCTGCAATTTGAACAAGGAGTCAAAATATGAAAATCCTATATTATATAACTGTGCTTTTTCAATCCAGGGTTGGAAGCTTGTACTGTAACTGGAGGATGGGTGGCAGAAAATAGTTTTGAAATATTGGGATCAAGAGAAGATATTTTGATTGGTGGACCTAAGAAATCACGTTTGAATAAAGCAGCACAGGTATAGTGTGATACATGTACCCTATGCGACTCGAAAAAGAAAATTCTGTTTGCTGAATTTTTGTTCTTAATGACAATCATTAGACAACATTCTCAAGAATGATAATTTCTGACAAAATTTGCACCTGGAAACCCTTGCAGGTTATTCTTCATATAACCATGTTAAAATTCTTTCTTTATTTCAGTGTCCTGCAGTATTTCACGGATGCCATTTTTATTTGTCTGGTAATTTCAAACCACCAAATGCAACCAAACAACAATTAGGTGAATTATTACAATCAGCAGGTATTATATATCTTATCACCGAGTTCTCATTTTCACTTAGTTAATTCATAGATTCTTTTAAAAGGATATTGCCAATCGGATGTGATAAGCAATATCATTGTGGGTGTTGGGCAGGGGTGGGCAAGGTGTTTGGACCAGGGGCCAAAAATTTGGCCCACCTGGATTGGCGGGACATGTAAGTGTGACTAGAAAAGTTTAATTTTATGAAAAAAATAAGCCACATGCCAAAACTAATTTTAATCGCAATCTCAACAAATTCATTGAGCTATTTTGTAGCTGAATCATCAAAATTTGGTTGTGGCAGCTTAAGGCGGACCTGATTGAATTACCCAACGGGTCGTAGTTTGCACATGTCAGATGTGGGGTATCTTTATCAAATGTTGCAAAAAATGCCTTGTGAACTCCACAGTGACATTTCCTGGACAGTGATGACTTCGATGTGATCTCGGGCTAATGAATATTATATGTTTTTATCTAGCTCTTAATGCAATGGTGATATGTGGCTGTGTTTTGCAAGTTAACTGCCAGTATCTCTGTTATTTGCTATTATTCATTACTTTGAGCATGAGCAATGCTACTTTTAAATGTGCAGTTTATTTGCAGATACCTGATTTTACTCCTGTATTTTGCCAGGTGGGATCCTACTGTCACGAGAACCTAAACCTGATAGTGATAGCATTCAATTATGCACAAAAGTACCATACCATGCACAAAAAGATTCTGCACAATATTTTTATACATATTATATAGTGTATGACGGCAATCAAGGTAAGTCTACGTCGTCCGTCAGTATGTCATGCATGTGCGAGATTTCTTTAAAAAATTCACAATGCCTTTGAACATATATGTATTGTATATTGAAGCAATTACTGTACTTTTCTTGAGACACTGGCATACTTTGAGAAGATATTGGTTATTACTTATCGATCTTGATCGGTAAGCATGTTGATAGGTATTTGTCTGTCTGTTAGATACAGCGAGGTTGAATTTGCTGCAAATTTTGCATGTGCATTCATCGAATCTCAGACCAGGAGCCTATTGATTTTGGAAGAATTATGTCGTATAATTAGCGAGTAATTAATTAGTGATGGGACACGCGGTGTCGCTATTGAGTCAGAGCGAAGGATACACACCGCTAGATCGATAAGTCAGCGGTCTCTGATCACTATCTCGTTGGCTGTATTGCTGCCTCATTTGGGTTAATGTCTGTTTATGTTCTTTACCTGCCTGCTTTGCCAAATTCAAGAGAAATGTATTTATATGATTGGTTTTATGGCATGCAAAATTTTTAATTTTCAAGCGAAATTTTTAATAGTCAAGTTTCAGTTACTAACTCATAATCAATCCTAGCTGATGATTAATCATTAATTCAAACCAGTGTCTCTTTGATTTGTGATATCTTGATTTCTTTATCTTACATTAAAATAAATACATACATTTTGTTTCCATGTAGTGAAACATGGAGGTTCTACATTGAAGAATTAGTTCTCAAATTTGTAAGCATTGTGGCAACGGTTTCATAATAATATCATTTCTTGTTTATAAGGTAAACCATCAAGACTGGTTCGTCGTGGAAAAGTATGCAGTGTTCCTCTCAGTTGGATATTCGATTGCATATCTCAATTCTGCCTGTGTGAAATTCCAGGATAAAAAGTTATATACATCCTTTTTCATACCAAATTAGAGTTTTCGTTTTTCGCCTTCTATTTTATATTTTCGAGGTATTAGGTTGATTTCAAAATGCAAAATATATTTGGGTAATAGTATTTAGATAGAAAACAGCAAGTCTGTCTCAGTATAAAAATATTTGTATCAAATCAACTTTTTACATTTTCATTCTACACACATGCAAACAATTAGACAACAAATTTGTCCACTGGAATATTTTATACAAAATCTTGTGAACTCTTGAGATCACACCTGTTGTATACATACATATATATATATAAATACACACTTTTTAGATAAAATAATTCCAATTTGGAGGCAAATAATTTACTAATATCTAGTGTTATGTTATGTAAGAGCTGCTATTTTGGGTTCAGCATTGCCTACACAATTTATTCTACACTGGGTTTAAAATATTCGGCCTGATCTTAGTGATATAGTCCAGGGGTGTGCAATCTTTATTACAGGCGGGCCAGATACAAGTAACTGGGTGATGCCACGGGCCACGCCTTCGTTTAGGATATCCTTTTTAGTAGTTGCAGACACAAAAAGTTGTTTTTTTTGGTTATCGATCTTACGGCATTGTTAGTGGTCCTTGCAAAAATAGTGAGTAAACGCATGAATTTCTGAAGAAACTGCTATTCAAATTTATTGCTACACCGACTTTAAACGAATTCAGTGGAAAATACGTTTTTATAACATTGTGTATTTTGCTAGCTAGTTTTGGAATTACCCTTGCACATACCAGATTAATTGACTAAAAATCATTTCGTGGGCACGCCATTCAAAATTGACACAATTTTTCCTTGCAGGCCGCAGTTTGCACACTTCTGATGTAGTCTATTAGCACAAATAAAACATGACATTTGCTTGCAGTACTGTATATAAATCCTATGTGATGCATTCTTTTTACTCAAATACCTAGGACTATAATATTGAATCAGATTGTTTTGACATATTAGATAGTAATGTTTTTGATATATGCTTTTATAACCTGTGCCATTTCAGCAAACAAAGAGTCATGTGATATATTTTGATTAGAATATTTTTGAGACAATAGAGTTACCTTGTCTTGACAACGTTTTATCAGTCATATAAATTTTCCTTGCCATACCTATATTTGTAAATGGGTAAACTTTGTTCTATGATTCGTTCTATGCCAAGTTAACTTCATTAACTGAAAATTTATACAAAAATTTGGTTTGCTGCTTTTGTTATTCTTTTACTCTTAATGAAATTGTTGGTTTTTGCACTTTTTACTTTTTCCAAATTTGATAATTAAACAGGTGTAATGGTATTTTCTTTATTTCATATATATCCAGCTAGAATAAGCTTTATTACAGATATATAAATTGAGGATGATTTCTAATGCTGACCTTGAGTATATGGTTAATGCCAGGGTGGTCCAAGGTTGCAAGATTGAAGGGTAAAAAAAATGGCGCTCCCGTAATATGTGCAACAAGATGGCGGACACCTGAATATAGTGTGTGTATCAGGTTAGGGTTAGGCCATAATTTTATTGTATACTTATTTTAGTTCTAATATGATTTTGGGGACTAGCCAAGTAACTTGCGTAGTATTTGTACCTGAAATTATGGCCTAACCTTAACCTGCTGATACACATACTACATTCCGGTTTCCGCCATCTTGTTGCATATACTACAGGAGTACCAAAAAAATTGAGGAGTCCTTGTGGGCCGAAGTCGGGAAAACCCAGAAATGATCAAAATACTGGAAGTTTACTTAATTTAGATGTATTAAAAAATATCCTGCCCGCGTGCCAGGGTTTGGACCACCTCGGTATATGCCATCAAGTCCGATTACACTGAATTCAATTCGCAGGTTGTTATCTTGTGGGTCTTGATTGTGTGTGCATTATTGATTCCCAAAGCGGCAATCTAGTCATTAACGCATTAGTTTCTCACCCATGACATGTATCGCTGTATAATTAGATATGAACGGGGCATTTTTGAATGCTGAATTAAGTTATTGTTGAATATCCACACCCAGCCAGTGTTTGTATTCCGAATGAGTTGCCTTCACACGGTCCTATGATTTCCACTTATGTGGATTTCATATTCAAAAAAATATATATATATTTCGACTATGCAGGTGTACTTTATCACATGTGTATGGCAGGCCATTCGTCGGATTTGTCCTGCGAAGGATATGACTTATATTTATCCTATGGTATGAAATTAGTTAGCCAGGTATTTTTTGTTTTCAGATGCATGGACTTGTCCGAATGCTCAGCGGGTGCGCAAAACGATCAGTGTTTGGCTCAGTATGTTCCCCAGCTCATTTTAGGGAGGCTAAATGCCCCTCGCGGGTGGATTATAAACGCCATTCCATGTTAGTTTCATGTTACATACCCCGAGTCCCGCGTTTTGTACGTATCATATAACTTACTTGCCCGGGGCGATTTCGATGCTAACCGATGATGTATATAAAATCTGCTTCCCAACAGTTCGTGTTAATTTCTTTGTAAATCAGACAGAACTTTAGCAGTCCGTCAAAATCTGCCAGCAACTCGTAGAATTTCAGTTGCCAGAAATTACTAGTTAGGCTAATTAATTCAAGTCTATGATGTATCGAATCTACATGGCAGATTTACAATATACTGTACTTATCGAGCGAATACCAAAACTGAAAACTGGCTTAATCATTGATTATCTATCTTCATGTATTCTGTCAATACAGATGACAATAGTAAGACTAAAGTACAGTAGTGGCGTAATTTCAGCTTTAGCCATTACGTTGGGAATGATGTCTTTGGCTTTTTTGTATTGGAGCATCACATCAGATTCTCATCGTAATCGGCGATTAGAACATGGCTATGCTCATTTATTTACCTCGGAAAATAAGAGAGCTATTTTCGTTCCAACTTCCATGGAAACAATACACATCGCAGAAATTTTGTATAAAATGGCAACAGTAAGAAAACTGATAACGTTCGTTAAATCGTTGTTGCTCTATCGAACGAATCCGATTCATTTGCACGCAATTACGAATGTTAACACAGCACCAACTTTAAGAGAGCTATTTGGTACGTGGGACATTCCACATTTTCAACTAACTTTATATGTTCGTCCTGACATCGAAGAGGCGACAAGCTGGATACCGTATATGCACCCAGCTGGAGGTTACGCCTTCAAAAAACTTATGATGGATCAAATCTTATTGAAATTAAGACGGGTGATATTTTACGATTCTGATATCGTGCTCACGGCAGATATTTATAAGCTATGGAAAGAGTTTGATAACTTTGATTATAGACAAGCTATTGGAATGGGTTATGAAACTCAATATTGGTATAAGACGGCAGATGGAGGTAAATTCGACGGTGCTTGGCAGGCAATAGATTGGGGATTTAACACAGGGATGATATTATACGATCTTGAAAGATTAAGACGAATGAATTGGACATCGATGTGGAACAGAGAAGCAAGAAAAGAACTCAAAGTGGAAGGATACGCCTTGCTTGCGGAGCAAGACGTTTTTAATGTCTTATTTGTACACCATCCTGAAATTCTTTACCAAGTTCCTTGCAAATGGAATATGCAGTTTGGAGAACGTACTAATATACAAAGTTGTCCTAACTTAAACGAATATGTAGGGCTGCACACTACTTTAGTAAAGTTGTCAGAAACGAATCCAGATCACGTGCCTATGCTTCCAATTTTTTGGGATATTGTCAAATCTTTTGACAACATGAATGGTGGACGTTTCAGTGGAAATAAAAACAATCTACATCGAGTTCTTCCGTGCGCTGTTGATATCAATCGTTTGTTGCTTGAAAATACTGACGATATTACACTAGTGTTGTTTATGAAATCAAACGAGATGAAATTTTTTAAAAGAATTGTTGACGAATGGCCAGGACCAATGAGTGTTGCCATATCCGGAACAGATGAGGAATTTTCATTTCTGAATAAATTATCGTTAAGGGGAAACATAGGTTATCATTATTTATTCTTAAATGAAAACGAAAACCAAGTATCAGATTATTTGTTGAAAACAATCGCCTTAAGGCAAGTACTCACATCGCATTTTATAATCGGGGATATTCGATATCATTTGCGTAATGGGACCTACGAGATTCTAAAGGAAATGGTGATAAATAAGAAAACACCTCATGTAGCCATTCCATCCTTTGAAAGCAAGTGTTACATTTTCAGAAAATTTAACGGAAAAAGTGATATTTGGCAAAGGGTGAAAAATAAACATATTATAACTAACCCCGAATTAAACCAAGGTCTATTCGTAAGATGGGGTATCGAAGAAGAACCTTTTAACATTGGATGGAAAACAACATTTGACAAATATCTAACACTAGAAACCGCATTCCATCCACTATTTCAAAGTAAAAATAATGCACTTGATTACGAAGAAATGACTTTTACAAACGATTGGTTAGTACATTTGAATGTAACTGTGCTTCCAAGTTTGTTGGCAATAAAAATTCCATTTTTAGAAGAAGCAATGGATGATCCAAAGTTTTCAGTCAATTGTTAAAAAAAAATTTTTTTTTATGTCTACATGTAATTTACGAATTATTTTTCGATTAACTTTTTGAAACTTCGAAATGGCAGGCATCAAAAATGATTTTCAGATAAATTTAAAATTTTGTTTATGTTGGAATATTTTATGTTCCGGGGCAACCACTATTCCGCAAAAAACTTCAAGCTACAGTACTGTGACTGACAGAAATCCTATTTTCTGGTAGGATTATTGATCGTCGTTTTGTAGTGAAACTTTATAATTGAACATGAAGTTGACCTATAGATCGATTTGTTACGATGTTGTTGGCGGTATTCTTTTTCTTGTTGTTGTGAAAAAATCGCTTTTCTGTGGGATTCTTTTTTTTTGTACAATGACGTCATCAAAATTAAAATTGTGGCGGTTCCTCGTTTGTTCCTATCTGGTGGTCAAGCGAAGTCGTGAAGATTGTGTTACCGGTAGTCTACTGTGAAATATTGCATACTTTTGGCTTTCGTGTCCATATATTTAGGCATTGTTTTAATAAAATTTTACTTCAGTCAATATTTGAATTTGATTTGTTCAGTTCACTTTGATCATATTGAACTGACTTTTGTCCTATGAGTAGTCGAATTCACGCGATGTCGCTAGAGACTGGCTCGTAGTATTCTTGATATAACAGCGTATCCGACAAATAGTTTCCCTTGATCAATTTACACATACGCATTGAGTCAGCCTCATGCTTCCTCACACATAAATAATTATGTGTAGGAAATTATCTGCTACCCTTTCTATTTCTTTGAAATAAAACTACCTCAAAGAATATTTCGCATTCACCAGATAGTCAAGTGAAATTGCAACTGCTATCAAAACCGACCGACAAAAGTAACTGGTCGAGTCAAATTGGTACGGCATACGTTTAATGGGTCAATTTTCTATGCAAAAAATATGAAATTTTTATTTGAGTCCATTGTATTACCTTATGTAGTAAGTTAGTTACGACCTAATTGTAAAGTACTGCTAATATTAAAACATCTGATTTTAGATAGACCATCGTATATAAAGCAACGCAGAGATTATATATATGTTGTTGAATAAGATTGCAAAATTCACGAGTTGAATACAAAAAGCAGTAGTATATTGAAATAATATATTATCAATTCAACTAAACTCTAAATTTACGGATTGAAAAGTGTGACATGAGATTAGTTTAAACCACTGGGTAAAATAAAGGGGTTAAATTATTATCACCTAGCGGAACTTAACATTGCAATTTCATGGGATGAATTCGTGGGTAGTCACCCCATAACTAATAAGCATAAAATACGTGTTCACTTTGGTACACATCTCATAATTGCGCGTGGCGGAATGTTCAGCAAAATTGATATCATAGTAAAAACTACATAAACATACATAAGAATCTATCTTGTAATTAAGGTATTAAAATATTTTTAGTATACTGATAGGTGTCTGTGTTGATCCATATTATAGGGGGAACACTCTACGACCTAATAAATAATGATTGGGATTGGGTTTGCACGCAATCAGACTTCCAGGTGGGTGAGTGATGATGGGACTCATAATTGAGGGATTAAGAAAATATTTCATCGTAAAATTTCGTGAATCGTGATTTATCACAAATTTCACCAAATAGCGGGATTCGTTTTAGCTGACACGTAGCGGAAAATCTCATAATAACAGTATTTAATAGTTGTCAAACTTAATGAATTTGTTTTACAAAATCTTTTTTACAGTCAATTGATGCAGGCCTACACCGATCTGGCTTGCTTATAGATTTCGACTGATTAAATGTGTCAAATTAATAATCATTCGTCTCAGTTGATATACTTGACTGATAACTTTGTTGTTGTCGAAAAGTTGTCAAATGTCACGTTATTTCTGGTATTATTTGTCAACGTAAGTGACTGGAATCATAAAACATTGCAACTTTGTCGCACATCGAGTAAATGCTAGTAGTACTTTACATGTTGTAAAATATTTCATCTACAGTATTCATACTTAACCTTTGTCAACTAATAACTTTAGACTGAATTTTATGGTCGGTCTGTTGTCCTGAAACGTAGTTCAGCCTCAAATGCCGAGAGTTTTAAACCGGACAATTTAACAACCTAAAGTAGAATCAATACTGAATACAAACATTTATACAGCAGTTTCTTATTGTATTCCATATATTTATTTAATAAAGTCGGTAGGCTATTTGCGATAGAAGAAGACATTACATTGACGGCGCCATGTAGAAGCCAAATGCTTGATCATATACTGCCTACACAATTGTCTACAATACACCCAAACAACAGATCCAATATACCTGAAATAGGCGAATTCATGAAATTGAACGCTGAAAAAGTATATGCCTACATGGGATGATAATGCCATTCCGCATTACTGGTGCTTTGAAGTGATCACTCACGGTTGGTTCAGGCTTGAAGAGTCACACAATTGGACAGGGCATCACGGTTCTTATTGTTTTCCCTCCAGGAAACGGAAGCTAATTTTCTTGTCAATTACGTCCCTAAAATGAATTAATGAAATACATTTGCATCCAATGAACTTGGAAACTAATTTAAGATTCCGGAAATTAAAAAAATTGTTCTGACAGGTTGTACCTTCATGTTTATTTTATGTATTTTGAAATAATTTGGTTCCCGCAAATTAAATTTTAATGGCGGATTTTGCACAATTCTTCAGGCTGATAAATTGCAATATAAAAACAAAGATATTTTTAGGCAATTAATACTGCGATTGGATAACGGAAGTTGGGTCGGGAAAGTAATTTTATTCGAATTGATGGATGGAGCCCATAGTGTGAAACAAAAACTCAACTTATAGTACCAAAAGCCGTTGCCATACAAAATGATATTGTTAGATGATTATACTGTAATAAACAATTTGACTGAGCTTAAAATAAAAGCAGTAATAAATTTCACTTGCCAACATAAATCATTGATCAATATTGTTGAAAATATATCATACCCATGACGATACTCAGTGAACAGAATGTACGAAAGGTTCAAACCAGAGAGGTTATTACGTAACAGTAGATTTTATCCCCCAAATGAAGATACTGAAATTGTCACCAGGTGGCAGCATCGCATTAAATTTAGTTCAAGTATTTGGCCCGCCATATTGTGAAAACTGTGGCGGGCCACGTACTTTTAATCTTCTGGTACAGCTTACATAACTGATATCTTTGTTGCTTGATTTGTCTTGTATTTAATATTCATGGCTGACTTAAAAGCGCGTCATAACTAATAACATACTGATATCGGTTTATCATGAATTCTTCTGTATCAGAACACTTGCTTACATAATGTTCGATATTGAAACTGCTCTAATTGCAGATATTATTTTTATAAAGTAGGAGTAACCGGAAAGACTATATAGTGCGTTTTCAATTAGTATAATTAGTGGAATGTAAAAACATCAAACACGCTTTGCTATCAATTTTAAATATCCATATAATTCTAGATTAAAATTTGCAACAAAATAAAAACACCACTATTTTCAGTGACTAAAAATTTGAAACGTTAACATTAATTTCAACTGCATTTTAACTTGGACATTTGGGTAAACTTCTGTGTATAATCTTTTATGTAAAATACTTCGTATTCAACAGTATTGAATGGAGGTATCAAATAGGATTCAAAAATAGTCTCAATGGCCTGATACCCACCGAGCACCTTAGTTTAAACTGTTTATCTTAAGAACAATTTTATTTAGGTATTGGCAAATTAAATCAATAAAATATCAAAATCTATTGTATTACCGAATAAAATAAACATTTATCCATTAATTGTCTTTAAATTTTGACCCTTTCTCGGTAGTGACGTACGGGTTAAATTCAATTTTAGTCCGATTTCCAGACGCATCGTTGACATTCCTCGTTGTAATTAAATTTATTTGCCCCCCACGTCGTTTATTAATCGTTTCAATTCTAATTAAATATCAACCAGAAGGCATTGAATTAATCTAAACAATAATTTACTAATAAGTTTCATCAAGTATGGTAGAAGGATAAATCGTACAAAATAATCCGATTTAGGTATATACCATCTTTGATTAAGAGTGGTTCGATGATAAATTTCTCACGCTAAAAATCCAATTGAACCGTGTGAATTGGGTTTTTGAGCAAGTACTCGAAGGCTCCTATTATTGCCAATTCAAATCTTTAATTACCCTGCCAGATTAAAATCTCCAGGCTTCCAGAAGGTCCTTTTAACCCGTTGTTTTAAATTTTCAATTTTCTTTCATATTGTATAATAATATTAACCCACGTTGGGATAAAGGGTCAATATTCTGATTTGAAGTATAATTTGTGATCAAGGAAATATTTTTCAGCCGTTTCTCTTTGGTTGTTGAAACAGTTGTTGGCCTTTTGATTTACATTTTCAAGTTGAAGGTTATATCTTAATACACTATTGTCCTGAGATCAGCACTTCATTAGGAAGTTAGCAATTTTCAAAATGATTTTGGACTAATCTTTTGATAAAATGCCCAAATTTGCGCTTTTTTTGTTTTGGAATAATGTACAAAATGGCGCTCAATAGGCTTTTAGAATAAATTTTTGAATCGATGTCGTTTTTTTGCATATCACCGAACAAATTTTTTCAATTAAAATTAGATGACTTCGATGCTGGAATACTAAACATATCAACAAAGCAGTTCGTGTTTATGTCGTAACTTCTCGGGTGGGTCACAATATATTTAAATCTACTTGCGTGACAAATGCAATGACTGAATGAATGGTGATTTTCAGTAGAGTTTGTAATTATTAATAGGTTGTATATATATGAATAATATTGGAGACTGAAATATGATGCAAAATTGTAATTGCGCCTAAATGCATTACATACTTTCGTTGGTAACTTGGAACAAACGAGTCCTCAATTTTCCCCTTTTACGACTAAAGACGAGTTAAAAAATTCTACTATTTCCCACATAAATTGTAGATGTCGACCTAGCATTGAAACATACTGCAGCAAAACAGAAAAATTAGCGTAGTTTTGAACGTTATTTAGTTTTCAAAGTATTGTATTTATAAATAAATTTTCTAACGTGGATAAATCGCCACTGCTGGCCATTTGAATCTTTTTATCGTGACATTTTGATGAACTTCGATGTACCTATGGAATTGGATTATTGTTCCAATTTAAGAAAAATTATTACTTTTCCGATACGTTATCTGTCTCAGGTCATCAGCAAATTTGGAGCCAAAATCACAGAATGAAAATGAGTAATATTTGTCAAAATTTGATATCTAATTATTCCGATCAAATATTGTTTTCAAATCATCATCGCTGACATTTTCTCAGACAGTAATGTTGGTTTGATATCAATTGAAAACCGGTCCTAAATAATCTGTCAGAAAACTGCAATTTTATTTATGATCACGCCAATTGCTTAACGATACTTTCTTTAATGCTTGATTATTGCACTGCGCCAAAAAGCTTTAAACATACCTGAAAAAACTTTCAACATGAAAATTATTAACAATTATGTAACTCTTGCTTTTCCCTATATTTCATGCGGAACAAATTAGAACTGGGTTATGAGCATTTTGCATTCTATTAAAACTCAAGATCAAGTAAGGTCCTGATGTAAAAATGTGCGTTCATGTTTGGATTACGTTTGACTATTTATTTATAAATAATCTGTTAATGAAGGGTATAATATAGGGCAGCACTCTGCTGGATTTTTAGGATTAAACGTTTATTGCTTTAACAAAAACTAAAACAA